AGAAATGACCATACTAAATATTGATCACAACACCACCATTGTTTATTTTCACACCAAAAATATATACAAGAATCCTTTCAAACTCACTATCTAACCACTATTAGAAATCAAATATCTTCTACCGACAACATTACAAATCACCCCCGATCTACTATAGTTATCAACTCCCAAGCCATGTCCTGTTCTTATTACTATCAGATTGTCTCTATGTCCCTGCAATACCACTGTTCTAATTTCTTTTAAACAAAATGCCTTCACTTCACTAGTTCCTTTGAATAGCCATGCATCTTAGCTCTGTCAACACTAACTCAACATAGCACTAATGTCGCTTTTCTTTTAATCAACTTGAGCTCCTCTAAAATTGGCACCCCTTCTTCTTCCTAAACAACAATCTTCTGTATTGATCTGGATCTACTTCTTTGCCTACAACCAATAACTTCTTTTCGCTATAACCTTCACTTTTTTTTATAAGATACTCCCACTCATCTTCTAACTTAATCACAATTTGATCGTCTATACAATTCTGGTACACATTACTATTATATCTATAATCTCTACTTCTTTGCTTTGCACAAAATTCTCAATGTAGCATACATGTCTCCAACTAGATCTATTATTGCTTGACTTTTCCATCTTCAATATACCACACTTTGCATCGCCTTGCCTTGTTGCCTTCATTAATTCTATTACATTTAAATTATGGCACTCCATACCTTATCTGCTCAATATTGTTGACATAATCTGTCTGATCCAAAACTATCTAAACCAGAATTTGTACAACTTAGACTAATCCAGCAAAATAAGTTGTTGGTCTATGGATATATATATATATATATATATATAAGTTTTAATACACCCTTATGAGAGATTATTAGATATCCTTTTAAAAGTCTTTTTTATTCTATTTTTATTTTAAAATAATATGTTCTAAAAAATTATTATTATTAATATATATTTTTAATTCTAGAGGTTCAAATCATTTATTTTCTATCATTTATTTCTTTTTATATTGCTTTATCAATATGACACTACTATCCTTACTTAATCTAATTTTAAACCACAATTATTTCATCTACCATTATGATTGTATTCAACTCTTAATATCTAAATAAGACTTTTTTTCAATAATTTATCCTATTTAACTACATCCAAAAAAAAAATTCTTAATTGCATTGATTTATTTTAATATTTATTCTAATTACATTGACAGTCATAAAATTTGGCTCACTTAGATACTCTATCAAAACATCATCTCTATGACTGTTCAACTAACCTTCAAGAAGGAACTCAACCATCATTTAGACCAATTTATAGTTTATCACAAAATGAGTTGACTAAATTCAAAGAATATATTAAAGAAAATCTAGCTAAGAACTTCATATGGTATTCAAAATCTCTAGCAGAAGCTTCAATCTTATTTGTAAAGAAAAAAGATGGATCATTACTAATATGTGTCAATTATCAAGGATTTAACAAAATCACCATAAAAAATAGATACCTAGTATCTTTGATATTTATATTTTTTGATCACTTGAATCAAGCTAAGATCTATAAAAAAATAGATCTACAAGGAACATACAATCTAGTAGACATCAAAGAAGGAGATAAATGAAAGATTACATTTTGAACAAGGTATGGACATTTTGAATACAATGTCAAGCTTTTTGGATTTACAAATGTACCAACAACTTTCCAACATCTAATGAATATTTTTCTTCAAGAATTCTTAGATGAATTTGTTATCTATTACATAAATGACATCTTAATTTATTTTAAGAACATAAAAGATTATAAACTTCATATTTATTGTGCTTTACAAAAACTAAAAGATATAAGACTCTATGCCAAGATAGAAAAGCGTATATTCCATACTACTCAGGTTGATTTCTTTGGATATATCATTTCAAATGATAGGCTTATGATAGATCTTAAAAAAAATTAAGCTATTATAGATTAGAAGATCTTAAAAATAATAAGAGATGTCTAATATTTTTTGAGATTTTCCAAATACTACTAGATCTTCATTAGGAACTTCTTTTAAGTTCCAACTCCACTTATTTGTTTGACTTATAAAAATAAACTTCAATAGAATCAAAAAGTAGAAACAGCATTTGAAGCTTTGTAGATAGCTTTTATTTCTACACTAATCTTATATTGCGTCAAATTTTTTAAGCTATTTTTTATAAAAACAAACAAATCAAATTTTACTTTGAATGTTGTATTATTACAAATAGTAACAGATAATAAATTTCATCTAGTAGCTTTTTATTCAAAAAACTTTTAATAGCTGAGATCAACTACAAGATTCACAATAAAGAACTTCTTGCAATTGTAGATTTATTATAAGAATGGCATTGCTAATTTAGTCATTGTTTATATCAACTTCAAGAATCTTGAATACTTTATGTCAACACATATTTTGAATCATCATCAACCTCATTGGAGCATGTCTTTATCAAGATTTGATTTAAAAATCACTTATAAACTTGAAAAAATAAGGTTTATTAGATGTTCTTTTTAGACATTCTTATCTTACATCAAAAGAAGAGAATACAACTTTTGTTCAATAAAGAATGATTTCATTGAAGCCAAAGTATTTTCATCTTTGAGTAATAAAATAAGTATTGACTATTAATTCAATCATTTTCAAATAAATTCAATAAAATATGTTCTTTGATCTTCTTGTTCATGATATTAAGAATTCTTCTTTTTAAGTCTCATGATGATTCTAAGTTTAAGTTTAAAAATAATATATTCTATTTTAAAAGATGCCTATATATTCTAAAAAGAGAAGCACGTTTTTATGTTCTTCAAGCATGCCATGACTTTCTAGTGGCTGAAAATTTTGGATACAAAAAGACTTTAGAATTTATATGTAAAGATTTTGGTTTAGATAAGATTACAACAATGTAATAGAAATGAAGACTTTTAAGAATGACATGTTCTTCCTCAAATAGATGGCAAAATACAATACATTTAGTATCATGAGGTAAGAAGAAACTCTTGATGTTTGATGAATTTATTGGAAGCAAGAACAATTTCTAATGGTGTTACAAATGTTTTGTTTGAAGGAAGTTATGAAGGTTTTAACAATGATCAAATAATAGAGTGGTCTTTTTGCCTTGAAATGGAACATTATTAATGGCTGAGAAGACCTATCAACTACCTTTAAAGGGAACAAAGATCAAATTATGTGGCAAATATAATTCATCGCATTTTAGACTTCCTCAACATATGATCACCACTCCTTGTGGAACTTGTCTCTAAAAGAAGAGATAATGTTAGGAATATATATTTACTATAATTGTTATGTCAATAACATAAATAGATAGAAGTAAGTAAAAGTAAATTAATTTCATAATACCTTCTAGAAAAGCTTCTAGAAGCTTTTTAGATGCTATTTTGACTTTACATGTATTTGTAGTTGATTGATAGGTTAGAAACTTGGTCAATAAACTAATTACATGCCACATGTATTGGTAGCTTGTGGAACAAGCTAATTATGTGGTGTCCATATAAAAAACTTACCTTCTAAGTTAAGATATATGTCATGCAAAGTCAATATGTTTTTGAAGGTCTTATAGAACATTACTATATAGATCCTAAGTAGTTAGTATATATAGAGGCAAAAGTAAAGCCTTCTTCACTTTTATCAACTCCTTTCTTGTTTGTACTCTAGTTTCAAGAATCTTTAGTTTCCTTGTCTTTTAGCAATAGCCATTTCAGTTTCTTTTTTAATATACATACTTCTCTATTTTTATTTTGTCATACTTCTTTGAGATAGACTCACTTGTTTATTTATTTTCATCGAGTTCTTGTCCTTGACATCAATTGAATATTGATAAGATTGATTGTGTTTTAGTCTTGTGTTTACTTATATTTTTTATTGGTTTTTGAAATAACATTAAATTAGTCTTAAATAAATTAACAAAACAACATAAAATTTTAAGATAAACCTTTTCATCTGATAAATTATTGAAAATATTAAATAGATCCATTCTTTTGTAAAATCGACCTACCCTTGATGAAGAATATGGTAATTATGATGAATATGGTTGATTTTTATTGGTTGCATTTCCAATATTATGAGATACTTAGAACAAAATTTAGAAGGTAATTCTATACATCACATTTGTAAGAAGATTCTACTTTCAATTTGAAACTAATAAAATTTCTTAGTTTACAAGTATACAACTAAAAATAAATCAGCATAATATTTATTTAATAAAATATCATTTATTATTATTATTATTATTATTATTTGATTTGACATCTTAAATTATACAAGAAATATGTAAATTTATTTTTGGGAGTATTATATACTGAATTTTAAAAATTCAAATTGAGTAAATTAGTTGTGGGAGTCATAACCACATGAATTCAGTAGATATATTTATTTCTTTCCATTTGTTCTTAGTCTGGAACAGAAAATTGTACAAATCTATTACTGTTCATATTTGTTACAACCAGGAATAAAAATGGATGTGTACCCTTATTCTCCTTTTTTAAATTTAATTTAATTATATATATTTAATAATACTTTTATTTGAATAAAAATATTTGAAAATATTATTTTTTTACTTAAATGATGGAGAAAGGATATCATATGAAACGGACAATATTAAAGAATGATTGAGAACGAGTTGATGGCATGAGTGCACGTGCAACCATGTGACACTCCTAAACAAAAACAACAACAACAACTACTGCAACGTAGTGGTGGGTTTCTCACAACAACGAATGATGGATGAACAATGCACGATGAATACGGCATCCACTCAACTCATCATCCATGCCCATGGGTGACACGGTGGACAGGGACTGTTCCGCACGGTTACCGGACTTCCGAAGGCCTATGCAGGTCATTGTCAGCGAAAGGGATGCGGAACGAGCCGTGGAAGGGGACTCGGATCAGGATGTGGGACGAGACGTGACGTGGTGAGGAGGGGGTGGGGGGGGGGGGGGATCGGGGGGAAGCAACAAGCGAAGGAAGGGGATGGTGCTGGCAATGCCCTGGTGAAGAAGGGTTGCAGGTGAGGGTGAGTGTGCTGCGCTTCGGGAATTGATTCTTTGCTTTGCTCTGCTCTGTTCTGCTCACAATTTCTTCGTCCTGTTCCGGCACGTGTTATTTGCCTACCTGCCTGCGCCGTGCCTCACTATGGTACGCGGTGCCTGCATTGTTTTCATTCGGAATTTTGGTACTTTGCTTACGCTTGTTGGGGATGTATTTTAGACCTTCGAGGCTTGTCTGTGGCGCTTGCGAATGTTGGCTTTGTGCGGTAGGGTCGTCAGATTTTCATCTGATTTTGATGAACAGGAGTGTTTGTGGATTTGTTCTAGGTCACCTTTCGGAGCATGAAGAGCGTTAGGGTTAGGTCTGCGAACGTTTCTGTGTAGTTGCGCAGTAATTTGTCTCTTGAAGGAGTGTTCGATGCCCTAGTCCTGTGCACCATGACCTTTCCCACAACGATTATTAGCTGAGCTCGGAGCACGATTGCAGCTTGCGTGGTGAAGGTTGTTTTGGCATGACGTATATGTTAGGGAATTGTTGCGCAGTGCTCGAAGATTAATTGTGATCTTTCGGAAGTTGTGATGCACGAGCTGGATAACTCACAATTGTGACTTCTATTTTCATGAACTTATGGAGTGAATGAGGAAACAATTATTTGTCTTTGGCTGGTTGGAACAGTGTATGGAGATTTATTCAACAGATATTTGTTGTTGGAATGTGTGTTGCACACAGTCGGATAGGTGACGCTACATTGTAAAAGAACAGATCCATAGAAGTGTGCATTCCAAGAGTGTGGTTATGGAGCAGAGACTCTACAGACCTAGTCTTGTACACCCTCTAGAAACGTGCAAGGGTGACATTTCCACCTTTCCGATCCAATACGTGCCTTTTGTTTCCAGCTTGTGTTCTTCTAGAAAGTTGTACATAAAATTTTGACGTATCAGAGTCCGGCCGCGTAAAGTTTTCTGGAGCTGAAGGCATCAGAGTATGATTTGAGCAGTTGGAATGTCGTCTTTCGCTGTTAACTTGTTGAAAACTCATGTGATGGAGTTGGGCAGCAGGGTGATTGGGTCGACTCTTAGAAGCACCAGGGAAATTCATATAGGTACCCTCTTGTACAATTGCCTCGAGCTGATGTTCCCGATTAGAAGGCTTTGTTGCCAATCCAATAGGATTATGGCAGGCGTTATGAAACACGTGACGGATTATACCATCCATGCGAATCGTGGCAGTAATCATGAGGCAGCAGGGCATTCCGGGAGGCAGGGTAATCATCATTCAGAATCGTCGGCAGTGTTAGTGCTGTTGAATTATCGTCTGCCTCGATTCACACCTCTGCTTTGGAGCCAAGGTGAACAGTTCATTTCCTCCGGTTTCCATCATTTGGAGTGAAGTTCATTCGTGCCTGAAAGAGTGTGACACTTAATAAATTTATGTCTGACATTGTGAATTCGTTCTGTTGTGTGACAATGTATTCCTGAGATTAGTCTATTCTGAAGTTGGCACTTGAGTCGTCTCCTATGTTTCTAATGCATAGTGTTGGTAAATGTGTGACACGGAATTACTTTTTAGGAGTGTTGCCTTGAAGAGTGAAGAAATGGGTTACAATTCAGAAGAACCATATGTGAAATGAGAGAGGACTCTGTTGGCGACTGATGAGTATGTGGGCGGTTGGTGGGTGCAAAGGGTGTGCCAGCATGCTTGCGGGTGTGTGCTGATGGCGGGGCTAACCGTCTTTACGACGAGCTTCCCCAGTTTTTCCCCAGAGACGACCCCAGTGTCGTGCGCCTGAGGTAATTTTTTCTTTCTTCATTTGTCACTTTCTGTCGTCACGAATGCTGGAGTAGGCTCAGTTGAAGTGGGAATGGTACATGCTCCTGTTGGTTTATGCTTTGCAAACTTGATTGATTTTAGAATCAGCTTTTGTGTATAGGTCTTTTTTCCTTTTCAAAAGAATTTAAATTTAAAAGTCTTTGGTATCGCAGGCATAAGCCAGATGTTATTAAGGGAGACCTTGACTCTATTCGAGCTGACGTTAGAGATTACTACGAGAAACTGGTGATTCTTTATTCATTATAACTGTGAAATATTTATTCTTAATTCTAATGTTAATTCGCAAGCGATTCCTAAAGTATTAAGTGAATACATTTCTATGCGATGACATCAGGAGAATGCGTTTATTGAGTGTAAATTTGACATTTTCACTGATGTGCTCTCCTGTGTCTTATTGTTGCAAATTTCACGTTGCGCAATTTTGGTTTTATCTCCGAGTACCAAGTGACATCGCATTTGTTGTGCCGTATTGATACGCATTGAGTGGAAATGGTTTTGTCTGATGTGAACCATTTGAATCCCTTCACTTAGGTCTGCTCTCTTAGTGATTCATTTTCTGATATTCACAAGTGGTGATAATGCAGGGTACAATCATTATTGACCAATCGCACGACCAGGAAACAACAGACCTCCACAAATGTATTCGTTTCATAAAAGAATCTACACCTCAGCTTGATAAAACTCTAGTAAGGGCATTTACTGGAAAGGAAAAAAAAAGCTCATTTCCATGTCGCTTGATATGTTGTTTAAGTATGCAGCTGCAGTAGCACACACTGCCTTGTGCTGGATTTACATAAGGTACAACATGCTTTCGGTTCATGAGTTATTGCCGCGCTGAAATATGTGCCGTGGTGCCCTTTTCTGATAAGGAACTGCATCCTTGTCCTGCAGCTGAAGGTGCTCGTTGTGGGAGCTTTGGGAGGGAGATTTGATCACGAGGCTGCCAATATCAACGTGTTATGGACGTTTGCAAATTCATTGAGGATAATTCTTTTCAGTGAAGAAAGTAGTCTCACCTTGTTGCCAACTGGGTATGTGCATGAAATCCATGTTGACCGGTCATTTGAGGGCCCTCATTGTGGCCTGGTTCCGGTTGGCGCTCCTTCTCTCTCGACCACAAGCACAGGACTTTATTGGAACTTAGGTACGTGCCTTACCGAGCAGGGTAGATGTTTGACCTCCTGTTTTGTTTGATTTATCTTTTAAACTTCGATTGTTTTTGTTTATCTATTTAGAAAATTCGTATAACCAGAAGTTGCCTCATTTCCAGTAATTTCTCTCTTGAATTGTTTTAAGTGTCTAAATGGTGTTTTGAGGTTGTTGACTGCAAGTTTATTTAATGGGTTTCTTGTGTGCAGATCAAACTCCAATGTCATTTGGTTCTTTGATAAGCACTTGTAATATTTTGGACAGCGACGTTGTGACCGTTGTCTCTGATGTGCATCTACTTTGGACAACTGAATTACGATATGAACCGTGATTCCTGTGTCCTTCGTAACAGAGAGTGTCTCTTGACCTTGATATGGATGCATGTCGAAACCTGTTGGTCTATGTAGTTTGGTTTTCTTCCAGATGTATTGCAATTTAAGCATGCTCCAGTGAGCGTCGTAATTGATGCATACGACTGCATTCAGTGCAGTTAGGAATGGAGAAATCGTAGCAGCAGTCACTTCTCCCATGTTCAAATTATTTTCCTTCATAATGCCTATGTAAGTAGGAGACGACTTCGAAGTGGCAAAATGGAAGTCTGAATTGGTGGTCCTCTTGAATGTTAAGTCCTGTTTGCCCTAATTCAATACAACGTAAACAATGTTGTGTAGTTGTGTGTGATACAAGGGAGTAAGTTCGACGGTGGATCCTGTGGAGGTTTCTGGTTTTAGGGTTTTTTTAAACGTTGTTAGAGTGGCTCCGAAAACCAATCCTACAAGTGAAGAGCCTATTAAAATTAATGTGTTTATAGTTTGGTAAGTTACCTCTCTTTTTATCCTAAATCTTACTTGTGGATATCCAACAAAAAAACTAAACTTGAGTGACAATTGTTGCAAAACAACACGTCTATCATCAGACCGACGGCTTACAAATAGAATATTTTATTACACCTTGACTTCTTATCTAGTGGAATGTCATTTGTATCCAACTCCGCTCCCATAAAGAAGCTATGTCTAGAAGGCTTATTTGGTACAAATGTAATGCAACTAACATGTGGTAAAGTAAAGGAAATCCTCTCATTGACATTAACTGGCTAGTGTGCTCCTTTTCACAGTTTTTATAAGTGTCTTAAAATTGTAAAATTTTGGATAAGTCTACCTCTCTTTCAGATCCTTGGAAATGTGGACCTTGGATTCCTTTCTCATGAAAACAAGCTTTATTTGTGAAGACTTCCTATCATTGGTTTAGATTTTTTTGGAAGATTTTATCTTTGCTAAGAGGTTTCTACTTACAAACCATTCAAATTTATTCCTTTGTATGACCTCTACATTAGAACTCTACTGTGGCAAGGTCTCACTAAGTAGAAACAACCTATTTGGAAATTCTTAAGAAAACGGATAAATATCTGGAACACAAGACTCTCCTCAAAAGATAGAATAAATCTTGAATGGCTAACGATACATAAGCTTCCAAAGAGTACGATGTAATTAAATGGAAATTTGGTATACCACAATGTGACCATAATTACCTCTTGAAATATTCTTATCTTTGAATTCTTGGTTAGTAGGAATTAAGGTTTCTTTTGTAAGTCTGCAACTCAATCAATGCACTGGGTGTACACCATTTAGACAAAAAAAAAAAAAAAAAAAAAAAAAAAAACTTAGTCAATAAATCAATTTTCAGCATATGCAATAAGTGATGTTCCATAAAATCACTTAATTTGAAGTATATATATATATATATATATATATATATATATACATATATAATCATAAAAATCATGAGTTGTCTAACACATTGCAAAGTAACATGTATTAAAAATAATGTGAATAATTTATTTGTTGCTTACAGGCTAAGGAATTAGTAGGTTGTGTATTATGATACTAATGATTAGAATCTTTAAGTTCCATCTAATTATCTTTTTGTCTCTATGCCCTAATATTATCTTAACCATTTAGGTCTTATTTTATGTATACAAAAATTTGAAGTTAAGATCCTTATTTTTTATTTTATAATACTAATTGTAGCTCCAGTCATTTTTGTGATAGATTTTGATATTCTAATATTCTTAACCAATTTTATGTATTTATTTATTTATTCTATAATAATCCATGTGCTATTATCAAAGGATTTTTTTATTTATGTTAAATCTAAATATATCAAATGCATAGGTCATATAATAAATACTAGGAAATATTGATTTTTTTCTACATATAGAGTAATTATATATAAATTTTTTTGCTTCTTTTTAAAAATCAGACAAAATCATTTCCACTTGATTTTGCATTGTTAGTTATTAGTTTTTTTTTTTTTTTTTTTTTTTTTTTTTAATTTTCTACCAAAAATCCAAAAGATGTAAATAGAGGTCTTTAATAGTTTCTAATATTATGTTCAATAAAAGATTTAATACTTTAAAATTTCAGATATTTCTTTTTCTAACAAAGACTATAAGACTATGTTTTGATCCTATATAACTTCAAATAAATTAATTTTAGCACAAGAATAAAGTAATTAAAATTTAAAACCAATTTTAATTTTGATATTTGAGGTAATTTACATTAATATTATCTAATAATAAATTACATGCTCTTATAATTTTCTTTGGTTTTAGTAAATAGGAACACAAAAATATAATATAGAATAAATCTTTTATTAAAATATCTTGGTGTCGTATTAGTTATTTTGTACTTTAAATGGATACATAATATTCTTTCGATTAGCTTACTTTGTGGCTGGATTTCTAAATCAATGCTATTTTTATTTATTTTTACTTATTTTTGGTGATTTTCTTTGATTAAAGTTTTTATTTCCAAATTCTTGTAGTGCTTAGTTGTGTTGCTTTTTTAAAGAAATCAACTCATAAATCAAAGATTTGTTGTTATGTTGGCAAATAAGACATTATTTTTGTTTTATTAGATAATCAACCTAAAACATTAAATATTTTTTTTATTTTTAATTTATCTTATAGTTATAATTTTGTGTTAAATTGGTTGATTTTTTACTATTTTGTACATAGATATATATTTGTTTTGATATGTCTTAATTGTTCTATTCTTAGTTTAAGAATGGCCTTCATTTAAATACTGTTGGATGTAGATCTTTATGAATGGGGGCTTGAATTTTGAAATGAACTTCTTTATTTTATTTTACTATGTGTTATTATATTAAATTTCTTTTAAATATGTTCTACAAGAAAAAAAATTACATATAGAATAACTAAAGGTCAAACAAATTAATTACTTTTACCAAGGCTTATTGTTGTTGTTATTTTTTGTTATTTTTTTGTTTTTTTTTTTTTTTGTTTTGTTTTTTTGTAGTTTTGTATTGTCTCTTAAAAAATAAAATAAAAGAAATGATGCCTATCTACAAAAAAATTTAAAACAACTAATTTCTTGCTTGATTTTATATATTTATTTATTTTATAGTCTTTAATTTAATATATTTTAGACTTACTTAATTTATTTAATTTCATAAATATTATTATATTACAAAAATAATTTAATTTATCTTTTATAAACTTCTTACTAAAACATCTACTAATGCTATCAATTTTTTTGACTTCTTGATAACCTATTGAGCACCTATGTTTATTATTTGCAATAGTTGTTTTTAAGTCTATTTTAATCTAAAGTAACCACTACAAATTTAATTGTTAGTATTGCAGTCAATACTTTTATAATCTACATATTTAATTTAATTTATAACACTTTATATATATATATATATATATATATATACATTCTTTTAAATTCAAAAATGCAACTTTTCCACAATCCTAACCAATCTATAAGCTCCAATCATAACATGTATAACAATATTTGTAAATGTATGTTTTGATGTTGTAATTAATTACCATGTTTAAATGATGATAAAAAAACAGAAATTATATTATTGAAAGTAAAATTTAAACCAAAATATGTAATTTATGCTAATAACCATATAAAACATAATAAAAAATAAATGAAACTAAAATAGCATGAAAGACACGTATATGATATATTGATTTATTTGCAATCTAATTTTTATCTGTCATTATTTTTTTTTGTATGTTTCTTTTTGGCACAAATGAAGGTAATTTCATTGCAAGGAAAGATGTAGTACAATTGCTCAATTGCATGTATCTTAAAAAAAAATTGATTTTCTATGGATTAGGGATGATTAGTAGAACCTAACTATAGGTTACTAAGGTAAGTGGTCCAAACGGATTCCCTCAGAAGGAAAGAACTACCCAATTGTTTAATTGAGCTACTATTTGAATTAGAAGACAAAGCCTTGAGTGGGTCTAATTAAGACTTGATACAAGCAACTGTCTATAATTGCTGCAAAGATTTCTTGGATATACCACTCATTAACAAAGTTCTTAACAATTGTAGCTCTCTTCTTTGGTGCATGTTTATTTTGGCTAATAACTATGTTCCATTCACCTCTATCATAATTAATAAGGCCTAATCAAATTTGTTGGAGAAGCTATGCTGTTAACTACTAAATTTGATTAAATACCACATTATTACATTTTATCTAAAGAGATTAGAGAACAACTGTTCAAAGATTTATCCAGAGTTGACTAATTTTATAAAAATTTCTCAATAATTAATCAATTTTTTTTTCATGTCTTTAGGTTAATATTTGTCAAGGACCTTGGGCATCTTATGATGTAAAAAGCATGTTCATGATATATATGCTCTATTGCTTAGTCTTGTGGATTGAAGAGCATTTTCAAAATCTATAAAAGATGTATTCTTTTGTTTGCTTGTGGTAGATATGGCAACTAGTGACAATAGTTGTACTTATCTTACTATGCGATAGATTTACAACAACCACCTTATATCATATTAGCTACAGAAGCCTTGTTTCTTTGGATGTGGAGCCTTTGTTTCAAATAGATGACTATTACAAATAGATAGTAAGGATCAAATTTCCTTGTCATTTGCATTCAATCATGATTGATGCGATGTAAAGTTTCTAAAAGAGACTTTTGTCAATTTTTGTTAAAAAATTCATAAATGGAATAAAGAAATCTTGTCTTAGGAAATACGACCTTTTGGAGTTCCATTCAAGACTATCCATTTTCCCGTAGAATAAAAAAATGAGAGATTTTTGAAAGCCACAAGTGGATTTTTGCACACACTTGTGATATAGAGTGTCATGAATAGAACAACTGAGATATCTATTGCCATGTATTAAGAGAAGAGGTGGAAATTTAGAAAAGTATTGTAATATAAGATAATATTATAAACATTTGAGTATTTGCCATGATGAGTTGCTTTTTTAAAGGACTTCTAATGGAAATGAGCAAGTCGTGGATGAATCAAAAAATAAAACTTAGGTGGTTGATAATGTGACTATAAAAGAATCCCATCCACTCTTAATTGAGTAAGCAAGGTGAGTGGTGCTTAAAGATGCCTCTAAAATTGCAAGAAATCTTAGATAGCTCCATTTTAGTCTCTATGCTTGATAGGCAAGATAGTAAATTACTTAGCAACCTCTACTATAATGAAAAAATGATCAATTATCTATACATTTCAAATATAGGAGAGGCTTTTCCACTAAAACTAAACTATGTTGGTTATGAAAAAACCAACATCATTGTAGGGATGATAGAAACTTACTACTAGAAAGATTTGTTTATAGCCTCATCAAAGGAATTGGATTAAGACGACACTAGAATGGATGCAAAGAAC